CTGCTGTGGGGCAGCCAGGCCACCAAGATGGGCGAGTAAGACGACCGACCATATACGATACCATTCCATTGAAGTATGTTTCGCGAGTTGGATGATGTGGTCCAAAGACGCCACCCAAGGCTCCTCTAAACGTGATGGTGCTCGTGAATCGTCGTGTGAGAACGAAGTCTGAAGCTGAGATGAGCCATTGCATGTGTCGCTCGCTCGAGCAGCCGCGGTTGTGCAGGTGATACTCGTCATGACAGTGGTCGCTGATATACTATTGTTCCCGTCATCCTTGCAAAGGCAACGAACATCGGGCCTTGCAGAGTGCTCAACTATGGTGGAGTGAAGTTTGTTTCCTCGTTTGAACAAATCAACGCGTTATGTACCGTGTGGTGCTTGACGCCGTCGCGATCCGCTCCCGGCTCTACTTTCTGGCCGATGACGCCCAAGTATGTCCCGTCTGCGGCGACCTCGAGTCGTACTAGTACGACCATCTTCTGCTTCGTTGCGAATTTGTCACAGCCGTGTGGGCGGTCTTTCAGCCGCTCGTCGAAGCCCTCGAGCTCGAACTTCCCACGACGCCTTCCGCGCTCCTCTTCGAACCGCTGGTGACAGCCCAACGTTACCGTCGGCGTGCCGTAGCCATGATGTGGCCGATCCTCCGCGCGTGCGTGCTCCACACCGTCTGGCTTGCCCGCAACGACCGCGTCTTTCGCCCCGCCTCTTCCAAATGATGGCAGCCCTGCGGCATGACGCATGGCTACGCGACAACTTTGTTCCGGCATGTGCCGTTTACACGCCACGTCTCCCGCTCGGCTTAGCCTCTCGGCGGCCGACTCGTCGTAGCACCTTGGAATCGATAGTCCACCACCATGTCCAGTTCAGTGTAAATTATATCTAAATAGACTCACTTCAACAACAACAAATCAACGCGTTAGAAGCGGAGCTGTCTTTTCTTGCTCCTACAATTGCAGAGCTTCTAGGAGCAAGAAAAAACTGCAAGAAACCTGGTCGCTGGGAGGAAGTTGCGTGCATTTGCTGTGGACTTGTGCAAGGGATAGGATACCAGCCCCAAGATTACATGCCGCGCGTGTCCATGGTGCCAGTACGACCGACGGACGTGCCTGTAACGCCACAAATAGCTCATTCAATCGATTCGTGTCGACGCACCAACGCACTGTAGCTGTACTTCCCTAGCTCCTTCGAGCTACCGGCAGCTATGACCAAGGCCATAAACTTGCCTTGCTATGACACTCCGACTAAGCACACTATATATGTACCGGTATGGCAGAATTTTATGCGGACACGTACGAGCCACGCGAACAGATGTCTGTTGGAAGTACCGGTTCTGGTCATATGTGTTGGATTGAGTCTGTGGGAAGCAGGTGTCCGTTGGAAGTAACGCACATGTTTCTGCACGGCACCCATGGTACTGGTGATATGCAGTACATATGTACCAGCTTATATGGTACCAGCTACAGTTTAGGATAGCACTTCAAAATTGCTGAGTCCTAGCACCCTCGCTGGTCTCGCCTTTGATGCGGCGCATTGCGGTGTCAGCATCGACAAACTGTTTGCTTGGAAGGGAACGTGATGAGGGACTCGTTGCTGCTGTTGGTATGCTGGGACTAGAGGATAGCTCACGCGCCGAACTGCGTGGTGGTACTCGACTGGAATCTTGGGCCTTTTGCACGACGTTGTGATGAACGCGATGTGCAATTACGTCCACCACATATGCACATGACAGATGCATTAAACAATCAAGAATCGCGAGCCACGCCCGACCCTCCTGGATGTGAAATAAAGCGCACCTTGGTGATATATCACAGATAGAGGTTTATCGAATGTGAGTGGTAGGCATGATGGGCCACTGGACTGTGGAGGTATGGGGCGCATCTCGAGACATGCAAACGAGATATCAAGGATGCAGAGTTGGCAGGATGGCGAGTTTTATTATGCAACAAGCACTGGCACAATAAAAGTACAAGTTTGTTCCCTCGCATTGCCCATCCTCGTGCTTGGGTACGGTGGCGCGAGCACTGTCGGTGGCAGTCGACCTTGGAATCAATTCGTCATTCCTCAACCTGATCGACGATGCGCCTACCTCTCTTGACGCTTGCTTTCGCTGCGATCGTCGCCGCCGACCACTCGTGGTGTGATGACGTGTCGCCGCCCACGGCAACGCCCACAATGGCCCCGACCATTTTACCGACTGCCGCCCCGACAGACAAACCCACCGTCGTCCCGACTTCTGCCCCGACCAGCGCTCCCACCGACGCTCCGACGG